TCTATCTCTCTTCCCCTTCTGTCTCTCTAAAAAAATCAATATTTTTAAAAATTATATCCAGATTTTATAAAGGGATCTTGTAACCCATTAATAAGACAACCTGAACAAAAATGGGCAAAATATATAAATAGTTTAGCACAGAAGATATTCAAATGGCTAAATAAATATATGAAAGGATGCTCGGCGTCATTATCTATCAGGGAAATGCAAATTAAAACCACAATGGAGACAAACACTGTGTGATCTCAGAATATGTGGAATCTAAAAAAAGTGAAAAAACTAAACTCATAGAACAGATTATTAGTTGCCAGAGGTGGAGGGTGGGAGGAGGGCAAAGGAGTGAAGGGAGTCAAAAGGTACAATTTTCCAGTTATAAATGTCATGGGAATGTAGTGTACAGATAGCATGGCACCTATAGTTAATAATACTGTATTACATACTTAAAAGGTGCTAAGAGAATAGATCTTAAAAATTCTCATCAAAAGAAACAAGTTTCTGTAATTATGTGTGGTGACATGTTAACCAGACTTATTGTGGTGATTATTTTTCAATATGTACAAATATTGAATCATTATGTTTTGCATCTGAAACTAACATAATATTGCATGCCAATTATACCTCAATAAAAATAATAAAATTTTAAAAAGCACAATGGGGCTCTAGCCGGTGTGCCTCAAGTTGGTTGAGAGTCATCTTGTGCACTGAAAGGTCATAGGTTCAATTCCCAATCAAGGCACATGGCCAGGTTGCAGGCTCGATCCTCAGTCGGGGTGTGTGCAGGAGGCAACTGATTGATGTTTCTCTCTCATGTCAATATTTCTCTCTCTCTCCCTCTCCTTTCTGCTCTCTTTCTAAAAAAAAATAATAGACACATATTTTTTTTAAAAAAATGAATCTTTTTAAAAAGCACAGTGGAGATACTATTTCACATTTACTAGAATGGCTATAATGAAAAAGGCAATAAGAAGTGGGGATGTAGAGAAATGGAAACCTTCATATATTGCTGGTGGGAATGTAAAATGATGCAGCTGCTTTGGAAGACAGTTTGGTAATTCCTCAGTAAATTAACTGAGTTACCACATGACCCAGCAAGTCTACTACTAGGTATATACCCAAGATGAATGAAAACATGTTCACACAAAAACTTCTACAGAAATATTCATAACAGCATTACTCATATTAGCCAAAAAGTGGAATTAATCCAAATGTCTGATGGGTAAACAAAATGTAGTATTATGTTCTATACAATGGAATATTATTCAGCCATATAGAATAAAGTACAGATACATGCTATAACATGGGTGTTACACTAAGTCAAAAATATTACCCTAGGTGAAAGAAGCAGTCACAAAAAACATAATGTATAATTCCATTTATATGAAGGATCTAAAATAGGCAAATATATAGACAAAAATTAGATTAGTGAATACCTAGGGCAGATGGAATGTAAGGCTATATAGGCATCAGAGAACTCATTGAAGGAGGTTATTGGAAGGGAGAAAATATTCTAGAATGTATTTACCACAGCCAGGGTGTTGGTAGTGGTATTTTGGTAGTTACTGAAAATCAAACTGTACACCTAAAATGGGTAAATTCTATGGTATGTGAGTTATATCTAAATTAGGCTGTTATTTTTTAAAGTGTATGGCACATAGTATATGGTCAATAAATATGTAGGAGGTGTTGGTTGTTCCTCAGTGATACCTATCTTTAGAGGAAGAGAATCTTCAAGACTGTTTATCCCAATTACCCTCATAGCTACCTCCCCCTAATTGATGTGTCCAGAACTCCAACCCAGAATCAACTCACTCAGAAGTTCCTCGGGGG